CCGTCAACGACGGCAATCTCTGCGAAAGAAAAAAAGGCCGAAGTGCGACCTGGGCAAAATGTCTTTTTTTTGCCCCCCCCCCCTGTATGTACCATGCAAGAGCATTGTTCTGTCTCGACCATCTACAAGAGCTGGTTTTCGATGGGTTCATTGGTAGCATGTATCTATGAAAGGTAAGAAACATTAGTATTGGTAATTAAGGCTTACACAAGCAATTGTGCGGCAAAAATTGGTCTCCAAGACATTCTGGAATCTAAAGAAGATCAGATGCTTTACGCATTTCGAAGGGTTTGATCCATGTTGGTCATCACATTTTCACCTTTCCTTGCGGAACAGCTAAACACAGAAATCCGTGCGCTCGCCCAGACGGTTGGCTTTTTCATGCTTTTTTGATGCCTCCTGAGGAATTCTTTCCTTCCTAAGGTTAATTGCCATGCTGATTTGCAGCAATTTGCAGTTTTCATGCGTAGCTGGAAAATCCCACGTAGGTATTCCCGTTCTCGAGATCTCCTTCCTAGATAATTCTGCCAGCGGGCTTCGACCTTCTCATAATGCCCTTACATAATCCGAAATTCATTGCTAAAACGATTAATGCCTTCCGCATCTGGCAGACCCTTTTTTCGAGTTCTGTTGGATGTAGGACAAGGAAACACTGCAATTCAATTAGCCGTGTGAAATTACTCTTTTCGAGGACAGGACAAGAATGTTCGCCAACGAATAACGAAACGAAAATGAGCAGAAGCTGAACTAAGTGTTCCCTTTGTATGGACGACCTTAAAGTCACATAACACGACCACAGCACTTCCACATTCCCCTCCACTTGCGTGGTAGACAGGTCCTCTCATACTTGGGTTGCGCCATTTCCATGGCTGCACGTTTGGCAGAGGTTTACATCGCTCAAATTTCCCACCCCATTTGCGATTCGCCCTGACAGAAATATCCCGCTGGTGTCTGTGTCTGTCTTGACTCAATACTCGTTCTTCCCCAAAAGATTAAAATCTCTTGGTCGGGCGTTCTTTGACACGAGCTCGTTCAATGCCCCAAATCACGCTCCGAAATGCGGTCCTATTTTCAGTGCTTACAGCGTTTTCGTTTTTTTCACCGATTGACTCGACAGCGCTAATAGTATCATGCTCGAGCCCCAATAGCAACGTCCTGCATCACGGAAGCCTTTTAGACTGCTCCCACGCATAGCCTGCGTGATTGCGTGCCGAAGGCACGTGGGAGCGCCAATGCATTCTTTGTGCGATCATTTTGCTGTCTCCCTAGCTCTCAAAGGTTCAAACGGTTCACAAGTCCGCAAGGCGAGAAATTTGGCGAATACCCCGTCCTTGAGTCACTGAATAGCACAGCCAGCCACGCCTACTAGTGGCCATTTTCATGGCGGCCGCTATTGATTTCCGACGTGTTCTTCGTTTGAAATTGCTGCTATGGAAGGAAATTGTTTTCGTGAATTGACTTCATAGAACTTTGTGGTCCACATGAATCACTGGTGAGACCACGGCAGCGACGAAAAAAGCCCACGCGGACGGCGATGCTTTCATTTCAGACCCTCGATATTGCTTCCTGAAGAAATCACAGAGGGCTCGTTAAAGCAGAGCATAACGGGGGTTTAGAAAGGTAGGCCCCGAGCTGCACATGTGCTGAACTCCCCTTGCGAAGAAGGATCGCTATCGTTTATCACTTACCATATTTGAGTTACAAATTCATCAGTAGGGTTTTCCCGGACATAAAAATTATCATATTTTGGATACTGATAAAATTGCTGCTAGGTGCTTGTTGGTGTCTAATAAAACAAACGACAAAAACCCAAGGAGGATCGCTCAAAACGGCGGTCCGCAATGGGCCAAAATTTAGCTCCTTCCCCCTCCCCCCTTTTACCCAGATCAAAATTTTACGAGATAAAGAAAATAGAAAACACAAAGCGAGAAAAATCAAGCTTTCATTTTAGCCCCTCAAAATTGCTTCCTCGGAAAAGCAATAGAGATCATGTTAAGAAGAAATATATATTCAGGGAGGATCCAGGCAGAAAACTGTGCTAAAATTACGCTCTCTACCCCCCCCCCTCCTTTCTGACAACATCACAATTTTAAGAGGCAAAGAAAATAGAAAACGCAAAGAGAGGAAAATCAAAGATGTGAATTGGTACTTAAGCCCACCTTGGGTCCGGTAGGACTATCCGTTTGCTAGCTCTGGCAGCTGGCTGACTTCGGCTCTTTTCCATAGCCATCAAATAGCTGACATCAGCCAGTACGGCTTCTAAGTCGGCCATTTTCGCCTCTGAAACGGCGCAGATGACGTGCAATGGTCCAGCGGACAGAACGAACGGGCGACATTCACACGCCTATCAGAATATTCCCAACGACCTCTTACGAAATGACGGCGAAAGCGACGACAACGACGACGAGAGCGGCTAGTGGCGGAACCGCCAGAAATGTGACCGCAGCAGCAGACGAATCGATGCCATTTGGACACGAAAACGGCATCAAATATCACTCTGTTATCTCCGCTTATCAGAGTAATCACGAAGAAAACTCATCAGTTCAGATCATTTCTAGTTATGAAGGCGAGTTTTTACGAATCGAATCAGTTAAGATAGGCAGATAGATGTTTAATAAGCAGATAGTGAAGGCTGATAAAAAGCGGGGTATCAAGCGGAAGGAGGCGTTCGGAGGCGGAAAGAGCATTGAGGTGGAACAAGTGGCGCAATGGATTGCCACGGCCGATTAGGTATGCTATCCAAGATTTCTTTCTATTTTTAGCAGCATAACTTCCTCACCGTCGATTTGAGACCGAACCCTAAGGTTTTTAACAAGAACCCAAGCTTTTTGATCTATTGGTCCTAACAAACACTAATTTTTGAAAATGCTTCCTTGCTGAGTCGACTGCTGCTCTCTCTCCCCTATGAGTAAACAACCATCCGTTGAGTGATTTCCAATAAGGGGAACAAAGCGGAGAGGTAAAATATGAGGTTTTCAAATGGAGTAGAAAAAGTAGTAATCAGTAAAATGGCGGATTTGGCACTGCTTTGTTAGGAAAGAAAATTAGAGTGAATTTTCTGAAATGTGGGAGATTTTTTTACCAAGTGTGCCCCCATTTTCTCATTTCGCTGGTCCAGCCAAATACCCAGCCCCTTTAATAAACACCTGCTAATGGGTCTTTTCAAGGGCAGGACAGTAAAATACCTTTAGCTAGAACTTCTATGGAAAACTCGCGACGGATTGGGGAGGGGAAAATGTCCATGAGTTGGAAGTACTATGGAAACCCGGGACTGGGTTCAGAAGCTCCGTCAGTAAGGGTAGGGCTTCAAAATTTGCCCAAGCCCTAGATGACCTACTGCCCAACAGTGTGCAGATGATTCTCATTTTTTTCAGCCACCCGATCTTTTGAACCTCGATAAGACCCTAGAAAGGACGAAAAGCTCGAATGATTCGACAAAACCACGTGATACCAATGAGTCTCCCCGACGAACAACTGCCCCAAATTCCAGAAAATCCAATGCAACATATTATCGGCAAACAAACTGAAACAACTGACAAGTAATTCCTTGAGGAAAGCTCATAACCAAAGTACATGACAGAAAATCGAATTTTTCCTGTTGGCTGAGTTGCTAGCAAAGGCGTCACATGGTACCCAAAGACATATGAGTGATTCGCAGGACTTCTTGGAACTACTCGTCCGCAAAATCTGAGCTCATGGCCGCGCGGCTGCAGCGGGTCTATAGGCGTTGTCGTTGCCTAGACGAGCTGTAAGACGCGAGTGTTTTTTCCATAGCAACTATCCGTCGAGTTTCGTATCCGCTGTCGCCGTGCCGATTGATGCCCTTCCTTCTGTCGGGCGTTATTCGGAAACGGAAATCGCCCATTAAAGGGCTAAAAAACGGCTTGTTATGGGCAGCTCCGTACTGAATTCATATGTTCCGGAATTACGCGTGATTTGAAGGGCCACTTAAACGCGGTCGCTCTCTCTTCAGGCTCACATCTGCTTTTCGGACCTACATCGTCAGGAGCACACATCATCACACCTCCAAAATTAAATGCTCAGAAATCGATACGAGAGGGAGTTGCAAGTGGGAATAGCGGAACGCTTTCGAAGAAGGGTCTAGCCGCGAGGCTCAGGGAATTCTGAGAAGAGGAGCACGATCACTGAATAATAGACTGACTAACTGAAAGTGCTGAGCGCTGGCTCTGATTGGCTACCAAGGAATCGATGCGTATCCATTGCATCGGAGGGAAAATTCATGGCAATTTCAGGCGGACAGCACTCACACACATGTAAAGAACAACGAATCGATGTCATCGCCGTGCTACTCAGGGCCAGAAATGTCTCACTGTCATCTCAGCCAAGGCCGAGGCTCAGGCTCAGGCTATCTCAGATCCGGAATAATTCAGTTATCAACCAATGAAAGTACCACGAAACTTTTAACGAGCCTGAAAAAGGCGCATTCGCACCGGCACGAAAGGAAGCGTTCGGGAAATAGCGGATGACTTTCAGAAGACAAGACGGACAGCGCAATGACAGTCCCATTGCGTGGTTTTTGGTCGGAGCGCCCTCGTAGGAAAGCAAAAGGCGACAAGTGTGCTTTTTTGAAGACGAGACACGCGAGATGGAAGCGAGACTGGTCAGAGACGAGATCGCTTGGCCTGGAGTACGTCGCGTGGGGCGTCCTGGTGGGTGGGGGGTTCGGAGCCGTCAGGCATGATTTAATGAGGCAGGAGGTGCTGATGAGCGAGAGCATTCTTACCTGCCAGAGGCAGTAGATGAGATGGGGAGCATGGCCGAAGGCATCGATTAGCCGAGGGGTGAGAGAGAGGAGCTCTGCCTGCTGCACTGCAGCAGCAGCTTTCACCCTTGCCGATATCTCCATCGTCTCCGCGTCGTGCCCGTCACACTCGCCCTACACACTCACTCACCTCACACGCGCGCGTCCTCATTCCCTCTGCCTCTCCCCACACACATCTCTCCCCCATTTCACCTCAGGGCATGATTTATCCCACACGAAGTGTGTTAAGAGTAATGTTATGCTAATAATTTCGCCTGCGTGAAAGTACGACATTCTTTCGGTGGCTGCCGCTCATTCTCAGCCGGCGATCGCTGCCAACAACGCCTACACGCACCGTCGCCACCAAACAACCATCGCAACCCGGATCATGCTAATGAGGAATGATGGCGCTGTGATGCGGCCATGGGACAGCTATGTAGCCTCTCACGGCTACGTACATAGACGACGGCAATCAACACACATACAGGATTTACACCTACCTGGGATACATCGCATCGCGCCATTATCTGCGAAAATGCCAGGTTCTGCCGTTTCGCATGGAAAAGTCGGCTATTTTACTCCTGGACTCTGAGAACTTAATCGGATTGAAAGGGTGTCGAATAGAACACTACGCCTTGATTAATCCTCACAAGATGAGTCACTCGCTTGATTCGCATTAAGGATGTTAAGCATATACGACATAAGATGCTTGAAGGTAATCGATCTATGTTGGGCCATAAATAGGTTTACTCTTCAGAGTCGTTGAGATGTTTCACCTCAGGCTAGGTCCTGCAGTGATTTGCAAGGGCCAGTCCAGGTTCTCAGTGTTTTCACCTTTCCGAAGAACTGAACTCGATTAACCAACGTAAGAGAGATATTTAGGAAGCTTGGTTGGTCTGGGCATGACCCGATCCATTGATCTGATAGCAGCGATCTATCAAATAGTGTTATTCTTTTCCCCATAATCAGCTTTCACTGGTGTTGCAAAAGGTCCCGCGCGGGTCAGGATCAGATGTGTGGCTTCGCGACAGCACATTTCAGAGAATCAGCCCTTCGTCTTTTGATGGTAAAAAGCGGAACACCGGCCTTGATCAACCCTTTTGGAATGCGCCATGCATCCGACTCGGCTCAAAATCGTAGTGCTATTTTGTAGGCGGCTTGGCTATATAAGCTTGCGTGGACCAGCCTGTTAAAGGAAGCGATCACGCTGGCTTCCACGCTGGATTTGCTACCCTCGCGTTATCAATCGATAAGGTGTGAGGCAGTAATTGTTGGACGAGTGTAAGCCCATGGAAGAT